TAGTGACCCCAACATACTCGATCATCTGCTGCGTTACGTCTCGCCGTCCAGCAGTGACCCGACCATCTACCGCGTCCAGTAGTGGCCCAACCACCCGGGGGTTCCTCTTACCATTAACCAACTATTACAAACATACATCCATACATTCATACATGGCACAACGCGTGCTTCCACCCTTACAGGCGGTGGGATGCTTCACACACATATTGCGCATACTAGAAGAATAACAACCATAACTGAATTAAAAGGCATAAAGTGAAAGACCTCGACATAGATTTTACCCCCTTTACACTCACCTCATTAGTCGCATCAACGTCTGCGTTCTCAAGCTCAAGCCCCGCGCGTTTTTCCTCTTTTGGCTCCTCCTCTATCGGTTCATCGTCTTCCTCTTCAACGACCCTAACCATTGGAGCTCCGCCGCCATTCTCTTCAAGGTCCCTTCTCAGGCCACAATTCGGGGGCCAACTTCGAACTGCCGACACCCCGGACCGTCTAGGAGGATAGGGTCGGGGACTCTCCATCACTTTACCCCCCGCCAGTTGCGATCACCGATGTCGAGTTCTCGGCCTTCCTTGCGCCTCTAATAGACACTGCTCTTCCCCTCCTACTAATCGGTGTGAACCTTTTCATCCTGCGAGACTACGAAGTTCGATTGGCTGCTAACTTTCTCGCCTTCTTTCCCTCCTTAGCCGGATTATCCCAGGAAACCTATTAATAGGAAATTCATTTTCTTAGACGACCTTTCTTGATTTAAAACCCCTTTTGAATCACTAGAACATCCTATCCTTAAACTCCAGTCCTTGAAACTCATTCCAAGGGTCCTTTAACCCCCACTAAATTTTAGTAGAATTAATCCCTTCAAAAACGACCATTTTTCTTAATTATTTTAGTCTTGGACGAATTTTCCACCTAACTAGAACCTTCTTAAAAATTAGGATAATAATTTTCCCATGTCAATCATGGGCCCCTATACCCTGGAAAATTATCAAATCCTTAAAAACCCCTCGGAAAGATTTTTATTTAATTAATAAGAATATTAGAAAATTTTCTAAAAATAGAAATACATCTCCAAAAATCCCCAAATTAAATTAAAATAATTTCCTAGACGTCGTTCAATTTATAAAGTTGTTAAATTCAGAAAAAACCTTCATAGAGGCCCGAAACAATTTAAAAATCTAAAAATACGTTTCTGGAAATTCCCATCAGTTTTAGTGACCAATCAATATCTGTCACTAAAAGCCTGAAAAGCCTGTTTCTAAAACCCCAGAATTCTACCCTCACGAAAAATCACCAAATCAATTCTACCCTCTTACAACATGAACCTCTATTATTTATTTTGTAGACTAGTAAAGTCAAGTATAACTCGGTTGGTGGCACAATATAGTGGTGATTGAGGTTATATTTCTAGGATGGAAAGTAAGGGTTGCTCCGAGATTATACACGCTTTGTTCTATGAACAAAATGTTGCCCAAATGGTTTTCATTTAAAATCGGCTTAATTGCAAGTTTGGTCACCCGAATTGCTTAAGAATTTCACGTTTGCCACCCGAATTGATTTATTCCATTTATAGTCACTCGAATTAGTTCAACAGTCCAAGTTCGGTCACTCTCCGTTAACCTCCGTTAGACTCCGTTAATGACGGCCGTTAAGTGATGACGTGGCTAACGGAAAGACACAGTCAGCACATTTAAACATTAAAAAAAGACTACCCGACCCGACCCGCCAACTCAGCCTTACCCGCCAACTCAGCCTTACTTGCCCAACCCAAGAACCAACCCAATTAATTCACCCTAAACCCAGACCCAAGACCCAACCCCTCCAGCCCTCTCCTATAAGTCTACCCCCTCAGAAATGAATCCCTAACCATCTGTTCTCTTCCTCTTTGCGAGAATCGCCCCATCCCCATCCCCATCCCCATCCATCTCTTCCTTTCCTCCTCCTCTCACTTCACCTCTACCAATGGCGGCTCCCTTCTGTCACTGTGGAGAGCCAACAGATCTAAAGACGAGCTGGACTGAGGCGAATCCAGGAAGAAGGTTTTATGGATGCAGCAGATATGGGGTAAGGTTCATCCACCATTGTTTCCTTTTTAGTGTTACAATTCGACTATTATGCCGCCTTTTTCATCCTTCTATTTTTTCTGTCGATGGTGTGTAGACAAATGGAGCATGTAACTACTTCAGATGGCTTGACCCAGCCCTTGATGAGCATATGAGAAATGTGTTGCTAAATTTTCATCGTCGAATTCGGGAGCTAGAGAAGAGGCAAAACAAGGAGGTGTCCAAGTTTGATCGGAAAATGGTGTCATTCATCATTTTAGGAGCTATTGTATTTTTTTTGTTTTGGATAGGAAAGTGATAAGTCGTCTGTGTAGCTGTAGGTGTTGTAATCTGTTGATGTGTAGCTAGTGAAGTGCTAAATTATTCCATGTATGGTCACTTGAATTGCTAATTAGAAACATGTTTGGTCACTTGAATTGCTAATGCATTCCACATTTGGTCACTTCAATTGCGATTTTGTTTCATGTTTGGTCACTGTAATTGCTAATTCAAAACATGTTTGGTCACTTGAATTGCTAATTCATTTCATGTTTGGTCACTGGAATTGCTAATTCAAAACATCTTTGGTCACTTAAATTGCTAATCAATTCCATGTTTGGTCACTTGAATTGTGAATTTGTTTCATGTTTGGTCACTGGAATTGATAACTCGAACCATGTTTGGTCACTCACAGATAGGTGCATAAATGGACAACTAAGGCACGTATTTGTGCAAAAGAACCTTCCAATGTACTGGAAGATTGATAAACCTGATAGTCATTCATAAAACTTAGTCTTACAAGGTCCAAATGATAATTATAGCCTCGAGGACAGTGTTTTTCCAAAAGAGCAATTCACCTTGACCTAATAGGCTAGCTAATACGCAAAGGAGAACATTCAAACGTCTACATTTCCTAGCCAATTGGAGGCTTCAAAATGGTAATTATCATTTGGACCTAAACTGCAACTAATCTTCACTCTTGAGTCACTTGGCTTGCATTTTGCGATCCTCCACATCCTTGGCTGAGCTGCTGTGATGCCTCAATCCGTGGCCTCGTAGTAGTTCCCTGCAAAGTTAAAGCAACATTAGAAGATAGTAGGACTTGATTAGAAAGCAAAATTGTAAAATTGAATAAATATATACATCTGGCATGAGCTGGACAGTGTTGGGCTGACTCATTGGCGCTTTTGCAGCTGCTTTTGCAGCCCTCTGTTGCTGCTTCTGTATGGCTGCCAATCGATTTTTTTCCGCTCTTTCGAGCTGTTTCTTCCTTTTAGCTTCTTCCTTAGCCAGTTCCTTAGCCTGTCTCCTTTCCTCCACCTGTTTCTTCCTTTCTTCATTATGGAACAGTTTGGTATGCCCAACTACCCCACATGTGGTGCACGCGTACTTCCTTCCTTCCGGCTTTGATGATTCCCTTTCACCCTTCTTCTGTTTTTTCTTCCCCTTCTCATCCTCATCAAGTCCCTTTCTTATCTGCTTCTTTGGTCTGCCCCTCTTTTTTGAGTTTGCAACTGGAGGGACTCCACAATCCCCCAACTCAGAAATTGGCCAATACTCCTTGCCATTAGTAGGTGAAATGGAGAACTCATATATCTTCGCCGCTGTTTCCCGCAGGTAGCAATCAGCAACATGGTCCTTGATCAGAAGCTTTTCCTTCCTGATTGCAGTGATAGCATGTGAACACGGAATGCCGGTCAACTCCCAATGTCTACATGTACATGTCTTCTTCTTCAGATTGACCACAACTTGGTGGCTGTGCCACCTCACCTCAAATTGTCCGTTCCCATTACTTTCTGCTGACCACTTCAATGCTTCTTCAGTAGTCTCATCTAGCTCCTTCTCAATCTTCTCAGTGAACATAGATTTCCATCTCTCCACCATTTCTCTTCTGTGGGCATATAACACCATCAAGTTTCTTCTAATCCCCTCCCACATACATACAGGACCCATATCCCTCTCTTCTATAATCACATTGTTCCAGCTCTCCACCAAATTGATCGTATGAATCTTAGAGTTGCAGAGGGTTTGATAATGTGACCTTGTCCAATGGTAGAATGGCTTGTCGATCAACCAATCATAGGCTGCCTTGTTGTACTCTGATAGGGCTTGCATTTGGTTGCGAAATTCAGGAACCGTTTCCGCTCTAACTGCTGCCCAGAACAGGTTCTTCATGTTTTGGGACCCCCCACAAGCACCTTTGAAGTTGGTCTTCCCTCCACATGCCTTGTATATGTCAGGCAGATCAAGCGTTGATAACTCATCAATATCTGCATAGTCCCAGTAGACTGTAGACTTCTCATCCAGAAAATGCTTGCCACCCTTCTTCTTCAATGATTCTGATAAGTGCACTTCAAACGTGAACTCTCCACTAGAAGCACCTATTGCAAACAACGAAAGAGAGAATGATTAATTAAAATGACAAAGCAGTAAAAGGCAGATGCTAAAGTCTAACTTCATTAACCCAACAACTAGTATTAAAAGCCATGAAAATGACATCTGAACCACTTCACACATGCTGCTGGTTTTGCTATTCCACACAAACACTAATTTTCAATTCGAAAAAAACAACAAACTGTTGTCCTTTACTGCAATAAAGGCGAGCTGTTTCAAGGATATTTGACTCACCATATTTTGGTTGGGGCGCATTTGGTGCACGCACATGACCCACCATGGTGAAGGCTGAGCTGGAAAAAGTGACAAAAACTCCACCATCAGTATAAAGAAAGGTAAAGTTCCAGCCCCAAAAGATTCCCCTTGCCCCAGGACAGCGACAACTCTTCCTTTACGCGTCGGGTTATAAAAGCGAAGAATAGAGAAGAGGAGAGGAGAGAAGAGGGGAAGCAGGTGAGTTTTACCTTTAAAACAGGAGAGAACAGACCACGGCAGGGGGAAGAACAGACGACCGGAGAGAAACAGCAGCGCTCGATTTGGGGGAAAAACACCAGCGCGCGTCGCGGCATGGGGAAGAACAGAAGCGCGCGAAGAAGAAGAGTCGCAGCAGGGGGTGAGGGATTCAGCGCGTTTTGGAACAGCAGCGCTCGAAGAAGAAGAGTCGCGGGCGAGGGATTCAGGGCGGCGGCGCGGCAGCGGCCTCCATCCCTTCGACGACGATTCTCGACGGCGCGACAGCAGTCGTTGGAAGAACAGCAGTCGCGGTGGATGAAGATGGAGTTAGGGCAGTCGCGGGTGAGAGGATGAAGATGGAGTTAGGCCATTTCCCTAATCCATCGTCGATTTAATTTTCAGGGGGGGGGGGGGGGGGGGAGGGGTTGGGTCTTGGGTCTGGGTTTAGGGTGAATTAATTGGGTTGGTTCTTGGGTTGGGCAAGTAAGTCTGAGTTGGCGGGTAAGGCTGAGTTGGTGGGTCGGGTCGGGTAGTCTTTTTTTAATGTTTAAATGTGCTGACTGTGTCTTTCCGTTAGCCACGTCATCACTTAACGGCCGTCATTAACGGAGTCTAACGGAGGTTAACGGAGAGTGACCGAACTTGGACTGTTGAACTAATTCGAGTGACTATAAATGGAATAAATCAATTCGGGTGGCAAACGTGAAATTTTTAAGCAATTTGGGTGACCAAACTTGCAATTAAGCCATTTAAAATCTAATAAAATGTTAATAATTCATCGTTAGATAAATAAAAATGATTATAATATTATTGGAAAGAATTCAAATAGTCAATTAATGTGAATCACCAGAAGAAGTATAAGAACTTAATTGAGTAGGAGAAGAGAAATATAGAAGGAAAAAAGGATCGAAAAGTATAAAAACGAATATCGGATAGGAAAAGTGATAAATTTGTTGTCTAAAGTTAAGTATGTTACGTATTATTAATAATTGCTTTACTTCCTTTTTATTTTTATTGTTGTTGGTTTGTGCCTTATTGTAGTTAACATTAAGAATGAGAAGTATCATCAATCTCACATCTCTTATTCTTTCTGAAATACATGACAAAAAATGTGCTCTCTTATATGGTTTGGAAAAAAAGTATAATAAGAAAGCAAATCTCCCTTGTCATGTGGTCCGTTCGTTCGACTTTGGAATTACTTTTTTGTTGCATTACACACATAATCAAAGCTCAATACATTAATTTTTTATATTTTAAATTTATAATTAAAATTGAACTACGACTAACTCATAGTGGGAAGGGAGCTATCACATGTGATCTCTTCTTATTTCAGGTAGGGGTTAATTTCAAACTAAGGATTCAACAAACCTTACTTGCTGTTTCTTTCATGATTTTTTGTATTTTGGTCGTGGATTGGTCCCCAACCCAACGCCAATTGACATTGCATCTTTTTAAGAAAAAATTCACGCATTACCTCTGTAATCCAGCTTCAACTAGCTAATCGTGTTGCGAACAGTCATCAAGGTATTTTTACCCTGTTTGCATTGAATGGACCTCTACACCAATCTCATATTTTATGAATTAGTTCTTTATATCCATGCTCTTACACTATAGTCTGAAGTCATTACTAGGCAGGTTTAATTTATGATTTCTAAGTTGGATATAATTGATGAAGCAATGCACTTTGTGGTTCTCAAAAGCATGGCTTGAGAGGGCTAAGAGAAAATTAATGATTATAGTTGATAATTGGATTGTGAATCATCTTCATTTATTTGTGCTGCTTATAAATTTCTTACTATATGTTAAGGTCAATTGTGGCTTTTGATTGTAAATAATTGGTTTTCTGTAACTTTCTTATTATGATTCTGCTCATTGTAAAACTGGTGGTTCCTTTATGAATTTGTTCTTTATTGGGCGATGAACTTTGACTCTGCAGCTTTAATATTAGTTCTTTATTGAGTTGAGTGAGTTAGATTATAAGTGCAGCTCTTAAGTAGGAGATGATGTCCTAGAACTTGTCATAACAAAAGCTACAAGGATAGAACAGATTTGATTGCTGCAAACTTGGAAGAAACTAGCATCACTAATCCAAGTTCTGAGGATTTTGGAGTACCTTAAACAAGCAGAAAAGGAGCATGTGCTCGACTTTAACTAAGGATGAGAGGTAGTATTATTGGAATCATTGTTTAGTTAGTGTTCCTATTATGAACCTATGCAGGACCGACCCATGATATTTGGAGGCCCTGTTCAATAATAGAAAATGTGGTCCTAAATATTTTTTTCACAAATTTATTGTAAATAAAAATTATTAAACATGCAAATGTTCGGCTTTCCTCTAGGAGGCATAATTTTTTTTAATACTATTTATGGTAATATTAGGAATTGGCCAAGTGAAGAAATTAACTAACTGAGTTCATGAAAACATTGAAAGAGCTGCAAACAATTTTTAAATAATCTTAAAATATATTGAAAGGCTTTGAAATATTTTTTAAACATAATAATAAATGAATCAATATAAGTGCAAAAACTGGCTCTATAACATATTTCTCATAAACAATTTGCCGTGTTTCTCACGGAATTTTATCTGTCCCATTTTATTTTTTTCCCTCGATATACTTTTAATATAATAACTCAACTTAGAAATTATCATCAAATTGGCATGGAAGGGAGGAATATATATATTAACTTTAATGTAATTGAGAAGGCGTTTTTTTTTGGGAAGGAGGACTTTTAGGGAAAACACTCAACAGGAATAACGAATCTACAAGATATAAAAAAGCAAAACATGGGTTGGAATTGTCATATTTCAAATTTTGTGGTCTGAGAGTGATTCTAGAAATGTTATTTTTGTCACTGCACACCGTTCATCTTTATGTATTAAAAATGTTATCACACCGTTCATCTTTATGTATTAAAAATGTTATCAATGGAGTTTGAACCTTGGTCCCTCAAAGGAAGAAAGAACATTATAACCAACTAGGCTATATTATATTTGCTATTACTTCTTTGATTAAATTCTAGGAACATGTCTGGTGATGATGCTTTTATATTTATATTTTATCTTAAATTATTTATATTTTATAGAAGGAGATTAATTCTTAAATTGAAACTCAAGTAACATTGATTCAAACATTAATATTAAATTATATGTGTAGTTTAGTTTAGACAAAATATAGAAGTGTAACCAAAACATGATCCTTTGTGACGAGTATAGTCATTTTTTTGTGACAAATCAACACATAATATAATTATAAAATTGAAAAATGAGAGTCTCATTTCAATTTTCGTGGCTTGAGAGTAATTCTACGAACTTCTTTTTCGTCATAGCGTCCAATTTATCTCTATATTTATGTGTAGATTTCCCACAAAAAAATTACTATATTTGTCACAAAGATCCATGTTTAGGCTACACACATGCATTTTGTCTAAACTGAACTACACAAACAATTTAATGTTTAATGTTTGAATCAATTTTACTTGAGTTACGATTTCTCAATTCATGACTTTCTATAAGATAAAAAATTTCAGGTAAAATACCTACTTGGTTGAAGAAGCTCTTCTATAACATATATTCAATGTTTTAAGATTCCATTTCAAATTTCGTGAAATGAGAGTAAAAGTAGGAAGAGTATTTTTGTTATCACAATTATTTTTCTATTTACTATAAAAAAAGTATCAATATCAAGATTTGAACCATGGTATCTTAAAAAAAAAACATTAATCACAATCAATTACACTAAACAAATTTTTTTTATCTTCTTAAATTATAAACATATACTAAACGAAGATTTGAAAAGCATACGACTTTTCCATCAGGGTTAGCTATCCTATTAAATATTCTGAAAATCAAAGTTTAATACGTCATTTATAATTTTTTATAACCTATAAAATGACAGGTAATCTTAAAATTGCAACACAAATTTCAATGCTTTAAATATTGCATACCGAATTGCATTATTCAATATGCAAAAGTGATGTGAATTCTTTAAATTAATATAAATTTTTAGAACTACTATGAAGCAATAATATTTATAGGTTATGAGCGAGTCTTCTACTCCCCAAGAGCAGTTGGACTTCATCGCCAATGCTCGGCGCCTCGACCCGTACAGCAATACATATAATGAGGGGTTGCGCCAGCATTCCAATTTCTCTTGGAGTAGCAACACCACTAAACCACCTGGTTTCCCAGCACCAGCTGGTGGTTTTCAGCAAAGGCAGCCTTTCCAGGCTCGACAGGGGCCAGCCCCACAGCAGCAGCCCTACCAGCCTAGGCAGGGGCAACCATTCCAGCAGCCCCAGCGTCTGTATGCCGAACCAGCAGCAGCTCCGGCTCTAGATAATCAGATGACGGAGCTAAAAAACATTCTAGCGGCATTCATGACTACCACCCAGGCAACTGTCACGAGGATGGACCAAAGCATAGCCTCACTGGAGGCAGGTCAGAGGAACCAAGATGCCATTTTGCAAGATTTGCAGAACCAGAAGGGTAGCATGTCTCGCCAAAACACTACCAGGGCACCGGGGACTCTGCCTGCCACCACTATTCCGAATCCTCGTGATCCTCACCAGCACCAGCAGCTAGATACCATCACTATCAGGAGTGGCAAGACCACATCTGCTGCTCCTGCCCAGCCCAGTCACGATGAGCCACTACCTGCTTCGACACTTCCAGTTGATAATGCAGAAGTGGGGGGAGACAAAGAAGCACCTACTCCCAAGCCACAGCCAGTGGTTAAGGAGCATGTACCCCAGCTTCCTTTCCCCACTCGCCTACATAAAGACAAGCTGGAGACTGAGTTTGCTAAGTTCATGGCAATGTTGAAGCAGGTCAACATCAGCATGCCGTTCGTGGAGGCACTATTGAAGATGCCCAAGTATGCCAAGTTCATGAAGGACCTCCTCACCAACAAGAAGAAACTTGGGGATCTTTCAACAGTGATGCTGAGCGAGGAGTGTTCGGCTATCCTACAGAACAAGCTGCCCGAGAAGCGTAAAGACCCTGGGAGTTTCACTATCCCTCTTGTTATTGGCAGCATGCATGTAGGAAAGTCTTTGGCGGACCTAGGCGCTAGCATAAATGTCATCCCCTACAAATTCTTTAAAAAGCTAGACCTAGGTGAACCTAGAGCTACTAGGATGAGCATTCAGTTAGCTGATCGTTCCATCGTGCATCCTAGGGTTATCATTGAGGATTTGCTTGTTAATATGGGTGCATTCACTTATCATGTTGACTTTGTTATCCTGGATATAAATGAGGATGTGGATGTACCTTTGATTCTGGGTAGACCGTTTCTCGCCACCGCCAAGGCGCTTATTGATGTGCATAGTGGTAAATTGATTCTGCGTGCTGGTGA